GAATTCAGGGGCAAATCATTCAGTGTTGGAAGGGCTCTTTCCCACCCACACGGAAGCCCTGAACTAGAGCTTCTGTGACATTTGTCGCACCGTTCAACTAGTCCCTTACTTAGAACTGTACCCACTGGTGAGAGAAATGATAAAAATATTTTTATAAGAGAAACTAAATTGAAAATTAGTTGTTTAAAAATTTTGGAATGCTATTTCAAATTAGAAAAAAATAGTAGTAAAATTATTTGGGCTTAAGGAAATGTTTCTGTGTTGGAGATGTAGTCCTAGTGGTACAGAACTTGGAAGGGCTCGAGGCTCTGGACTAAATCCCTAGGGTGTATGTAAGGTAAAGTTCTAATTTCTCACTGATAAAAGGCTTTCAGTTTCCAAACCGATCACTACAGAAGCTCACAAAACAAATCAAAGCACAGGAACACTGTCTGTGCAGTTCCTAAAGGGACAAAGCCATCTACTGTCATAAAGAGGTAACATCAACTATAACTAACTATAATTCCTTTATTATTAAAAATTATTATTTAATGTGTACTTTGCCTGCACATATGTCTGTGTACCTCATGCATACCTACAGAAGCCAGAAGAGGGCACTGGATCCCCTAGAACTGGAGTTATAGATGGCTGTCATCCACTGTGTGGGTGTTGGAAATTGAACCCAGGTCCTTTGGAAGAGCAGTCAGTGCACTTAAAGGCTGAGCCATCTCTCCAGTGCCCTAATTCCTTTTATTAAATAATAAAAAAAATCATAGCTGTAACATGTATGTACAAATGCAAGCTAATGCACGTTTTTCTAAATCATTTGGAATGAATGGTATGAGGTTTTTGTTTCTATTTGTTTGTTTGTTTGTTTTTGAGTTGGGGTTTCTCTGTGTAGCCGTGGCTGACCTGGAACTCACACTGTAGACCAGGCTTGTCTCTAACTCACGGAGATCCACCTGCCTCTGCCTCCTGAGAGCTGGGATTCAAGGTATGTACCACCACTGCCAGATGTTTCTGTGGGTTTTTGCTGAAGTGTGTAAGGATCTTTAAGGGATCTATTAGGTTAGGAGAAGGTTTTCAAACAGAAATAAAGATGACCCTTGTGAATTATCTGCTTTTATTATGGCAATTAAAATAGAACTCTGAAGCCCTCTAGAATTTGAGTACCCTCAAGTTTACCACCCGGCTGATGCATGAGTATTACAAACGTAATTACACAGTTGCTGAAGAATGCCTACTCTGAAAGACAATTAAATAGAGCTATGTCCTTATAAGTAGGAAACACAAGCAGGACACAGAGGCGCACACTTTTAATCCCAGCACCAGAAGGCAGAGGCAGGTGGATCTCTAAGTTCAAGGTCTGCCTGCTCTGTAGAGCAAGCCCCAGGACAGCCAGGACTACACAATGAGACCCTGCCTCCAAAGAACATAACAAAGTGGAAAACATACAGAAAATAGGAAGAGTCATCACTCTTGAGATGTCTTTTGGGTTGGATTTTCTAAAATGGCAATATCGCCTCCCTTCTTTCATGTAGGAGCTTCTTACACTTTAGTATGCACAAGGTCACCAGGAACCTTGCTAACATTCAGATTCCTTCCGAGGCCTGGACTGTTCATCTCTGGCTCCCAGTCTTAAAGCGTGTTTGCTTTGTTCCACTGACCACAGCCTAGATGAGATTCCTAGCTTGATGACCTTGCTTGATGCTCAGCCCCACTTGTACTTTCCCTAACGTCTTTCCTGGTACTTTTATACTCCCGTACTGTCCTTAAATGCAGACACCAGTTAGCATCTGTAGCTCCACCGGTGACTATGACCCTATGACCCCAGGCTAGGGGTTCCTACTATGGCTGGTGAGGATATTTCCTAGAGACAGGCTCACAACAAAGACATGAGTCTACTAAGGAGTATATCACGTCAAAATTTAGAACAAGTTATTTATTTGGTTCTAGAATAGAATTTCTAGAATTATTTTGTATTTTATTTATGCTAATAATAACAATTTATATGTTGATCACATACACCAACTAACAGTTGATAAGGAGCATCTATGGGTAGTGAGATATGTTTGAGAGGACTAGAAGGTATAGAAGTGAGGTCTAGGAACAGTATTTTTATGCATCTATTGAAGGTTTGCTTCTCAAGTCCTTATGTAATTCAAAGGAATATTCCATTATCTCCTCCTACCCCACTGTTCAATAGGCCATTTTAAAGTGTTTTAAGAAAGTGTGTGTGTGTGTGTGGTGTGTGCACCCCAACAGCTACTACTCACTGGGCACAAACTAAGCCATCCACCTTTGATCTAAAAGCTTTTATGCAATGGCTACTTACTAAATTCTTTGTTTGTCAAGGTTTCTCTGTGTTACAGCCCTGGCTGTCCTGGAACTAGCTCTGTAGACCATGCTGACCTTGAACTCACAGAGATCTGCCTGCCTCTGCCTCCAGAGTCCCGGAATTAAGGGTGTGCACCATCATCACCCTGCTGCTCATTAAATTCTTAATACATACCTGTTAGGTGGATGCCATTATGCTAACAAGATGACAAATAACGCTCCTGAGGAACGTTTAAAACGAGGAAACGTTCGAAAATGTTTAACTCTCAAATGAAACTTTTTTAAGTGTATGGGTGTTTTGCCTGCATGTTTATCTCTACCGAATGTGTGCAGTGCCTGTGGAGGGCAGAAGAGGCTGTTGGATCCCTTGGAACTGGAGTTAGAGGTGGTTGTAAGGTCATGTGAGTGCTGGAAACCAAACCTCTGCAAGAGTAGCCAGGGCTCTTACCACTGAGTTGCATCCAGCTCCACACAGAGATTTTATTAGCAGCTCTAACATATGATTCATTCAATGAATAAACACAAACCTGACTTGTAAGTAGGAATGTTTTGGGTGGTTACACATTTTATGGAAAGAACAGCAGTAATTGGTTTCCTATAAGGGGTTAGTATAAATAACCGGCTTTCTGTTGGCATTGCACACATTTAACACACCAACACTTGTTCAGGAAGCTTGTAAAATGACACACAGCTGTAACACTGTCAACTTGACATTGGTTTTTGTTACTTAAGATAAGAATTTAATGTGTGAGACTTCCCTAACTGATCTGATTATAAGTATCATTTGTGTCAGGAAGGGGAGGCACATGCCTTTAATCCCAGCATTCGGGAGTCAGAGGCAGGCCAGCCTGGTCTACAGAGCGAGTTCTAGGACATCCAGGGCTACAGAGAAACCCTGTCCCTAACCCTAACCCTCCACAAAAAAACAAAAACTAATCAAAACAAAAAAAAAAACCATTTGATGTGCTTACTTAACCTACAAGATTTCCTAGTCCCTCTACTGGAGGGAATCACTAGACCTGAGGTAAACCCAGGAATTTGTATATTTAATATCCTACACATACTTTGATGATAATGCATATTTGAGAAGCATTAGTCTACTGATTAAAGCTTGGGTTTCACTTTAAGGCCTTCACAGAATGGCATTGCTACAATCTAAACCTCTATAGCACTGACCTATTGTAAGACACATCTCCTCATTATTCCCCAAACAGATGCTTCCTCCTTGGCTCTGTGTTCAGGCTGTTACCTCCTTCTAGAGCATCCATTTCTTATATATTCCCTCAACAAAGTATCAGCCATTTTTTAAGGGTCAAGTTTTAACTTCTCTCTGAAGGTCACCTTAACTTCGCAGCCAGGACGGTATCCCACAGTTCTTAAAACCCGGATCACAGTCTGGTCCCTGGGTCTACAGCACAGCACCTATGGGGAAATTGTTGGAAATGAAAACTGCTTAGGAACACTCCCGACCTAAGTCAGAAACTCTGGGCACGCCACAGAGCACGCTGTCTGCAAGCCATCCCTCCAGTGAAGGCAATGCACTCTGTCTGCCACCTCTAAGGCACACCGCACCCTGTCTTCCTCTAGTGCATTGTCCTCTGTAGATACTGCAGCGCGCACAACCCGAAGGTCATGCGACCCACCAGGAGCACTTTATTGCTGCCAGTTTTCCAACAGTTCAGATGACTGTTAGCATTTTTTAGCAACAGAGTATTTTTAAATTGAGATACCCACATGACTTTAAACCTATTAGTGCTACTGCGTACTTAACAGACTATAGCACAGTACAAGCATGACTTTTACAATCTGCAGGAAACAGCTCGCTTCACTGCGAGATTCACTCCATGCTAGGGGTCTTGGGCATGCCTGTACTTTATTACGTCTCTCACTGTCTCTGCTGGTGTGTAAACTCTGCAAGAGCAGAGACGGTGCCTTGTCCTTCGAAGGACCAAATACAGTGCTTTTTACTTAACAGATCACATTTGAATCAAACTGTTATCAAACAGGTTTTAGTGTGCCCTTTTTCATTTTAATGCATGTGAAGGACCTCTACAGGTTGTGCGTCATGGGTTCAGACACAGAGACCCTAGTCTTCAAGGCAGGCAGGAGACAGACTTCTCAGCTTTGCCCAGGTTTTTGATGGAGATCAGTACATATCCCTAATGTTGTTACCAATGGCAATAATCATTTCACTAACAAATTCCTCTTCTTTTCTTCTCTGGCCTCTCTATCTTTACGCTTAGAGACACATCATAGTTATAAAATTTCTTAAGTTATTTCAACTTCACCTGTTATTTATGCAGTAAATTAGAAACAACTCTAAACTCTGACTTCTCAATAAACAAACTTGAGAGAAAACTTATGGTCAGGAATAGAAACTATCTTTTGCCATGGTAAAGCAGGTAAACATGGCTGCAGAGATGGTGTGGCGTTTCAGTGCCTCCTGCTCTTGCGGAGAACCCAGGGCCAGTTCCCAGCACCCACATGACGGCTCACAGCCATCTGTGACTCCAGTCCCAGGGGATCCAGTGCATCCTCTGGCTTCTGTGAGCTCCTGCATTCACATGGTGCACATAAACTCATCTAGGATCACACATACACACATAAATAAATAAAATACCTTAAAACAAAGAAAATTAAACAATAATCCATACCAATTAACATATCATTTATTACTGGTCAAAATGGAATAACATTTTTAAAAGCTGGACTCTTGAAAGTCCAGAGAGAGACAGGACAGGACATGTGAGAAAGCGTTCGTGATACGCTGCTCACTGAGCAGACTCATTCGCAGGATTATGTCGCTCTCTCAGACACCTTTCTTAAGAAAATAAAAAACGAAACCTTGGTTTCTATTAAAATTGATTTAATAAAAATGACTTATAATGATAATTACCAGTTTGCTGAAACAAAACTATAAAACTGTAAAAGAAGTTACAACAGAAATAAAAATGTATCAGTTCATATATTGTGTTATAAGAAAGTCAAGAAATGGATCAAATTTAAGAGAAAAATTTTGAATGGTTGTCAATTATTTTTAAAAATAAAAAAGCATTCTTTGGGGATTAGACATGTTTATACTTTGCTTATTAACAAAATAATTCTTTCTTTTCTTTCTTTCTTTTTTTTTTTTTTTTAGAAAATATCCTTAAATATTCCCAGAAGAGCCTTCTTTTCTTCAGCTGCATCATCAGGATAATACTTACTGGAGGAAAAAAGCAAATGTAAAAATGATTTTTTTTGTAAGCCAGCTTATTTTAAAACACAGAGTAAGCAGCTAACACAGCAAACACACTCAGGACAATGCCTTTGTCTGTGGGTAAAAGTTCACAGGAGTCTGTGCACTGTAAAGGGTAAGGAACAAACCTCTTATTATTTCTTTAGATATAGTAGGAAGTAAAATACTCCATAAAAGCATGAGCAGGTTTCTAAGCGTGGACTCTCCACAGAGAAAGAAACTGCTGCAGAGATTCCCTCTTAAAAACAGTCAGCAGCAGCAGGGTGCTGGTGGTGCACGCCTGTAATCCCAGCGCTCGGGAGGCAGAGGCAGGCAGATCTCTGTGAGTTCGAGGCCAGCCTGGTCTACAAAAGCTAGTTCCAGGACAGGCTCCAAAGCTAGAGTAAACCCTATCTTGAAAAACCACAAAAAAAAAAGAAGAAGAAGAAAAGGAAAGAAAGAAAGAAAGAAAAAGAGAAAGAAAGAAAGAAAGAAAGAAAGAAAGAAAGAAAGAAAGAAGGAAGGAAGGAAGGAAAGAAAGAAAGAAAGGAAAAAAGAAAGGGCCAGCAGTGAAGGCGCTGATCATATTCATTGCTACGGTGACACTGAGCTGCTGAGCTGTGAGACAGATGACTGGAACATCTCTAAGCTGGCTGATCTCATTTGTATTTCTCCAATGACACTACAGTTTATACTGTCAATAAAACACACTGCATTCAAATGAGTAAAAACAGCTTTATCAAATCCGTGCTTTACAGTTAAACAGCATAGGGTTTGAAGATGGTACTAAGGGTCTCAATTCTCTTCCATGCTTTTAGTAACAGAGGGTTTGGTCTCTGATCTTGGGTCTGGAGCACTGGCTCAATGGTTAACAGCATGCATTACTCTTCCAAAAGACCCGAACTCAACACCATCACCCACATCAGACAGCCCACAACTGCCTGTAACCCCAGCTCCAGAAGGACCTGACTCTTGCACTCACTAGTAGACACACACACACACACACACACACACACACACACACACACATCTTTAAAATGAATCAAACAATGCTGAATTTGTTTGTAAAAGTTTTTGCTGGTAAGGCCTTAAAGAGTTCTTACCTGAGATCAATTTCCTTTCTAGAGTCACTGTTTCCAATAAAAATATCCATTTCCTGAAAGTTGAGAGACTGTGGTGTTTTGTTAGAGCGGGTAAAGCTCACCCTCTCGATCACTGGTGAGAGAGTTGGCTGTCTTCTGTCTTGAAAATTGACCTATGTTTTAATGTAAAAAAATAATAAGCAAAGAGCACTCACTGACAGTTAAGCATTCAAACAAAAGCTAAAAACAAAATGCACATGGCTTACAAGGTTTGCACTTCCAGTTTGTAGAGGTAATTCTGCGACAGGAGATGGACCAGACTTGGACATGGCACAATCTAATAGATAAATATCTGGCTTTCCATGTGATGAAGCATAACTGAAAATTAAAATAAATTATCAATGAAATATGACAAGAAAAACAAACTGTTCTATATTAATAGTTACTCTGTGGAGAATATAAAGCTTATGTCTACTACAAAAGAGTTGATATTGTTTCCTATACTCATTGAGAACTAGTATATTTTCTTCTTTATTCTTCTTTTCTTCTTCCTCCTTCTTTTTGAGACAGGTCTCAGTATGTAACTCTGGCTGTACTGGAACTCACTGTGTAGACCAGTCTGGCCTCAACTCATAGAGGTGTGCTGAGACCACACCTGGCTAATTTCTTTCCTTAAGAACAAACCCAGGTTACATATTCCAGACTAGATAGGAGTCCTAGTTTAAGAAGTAATCATCTAACTATATTACGTACGATTCAGGGTTTACTCATTTTCTATAACCTAGAAACCCGTAAGTCTTTTCTAAACTCCCAGTGTTTAACTTTATCCCCCTTTCTGTATTCTAGATTCATGTAGTTACCATCTTCCTTCATATAACTACATACTAGAATTCACAACATTTTATCAAATTCACACATTAGAATACATTTATTACTCATTACTATACACCATATATTAGCTAGGAGCTGGATACAAAGCCGTAAACAGTCACTGGTGAGGTGATCTAACACAGAAACAGACCATGTGAACATAAACATCACAGCTGGGGAAACAGTTCTGTAGGGAAAGTGTTTGGCTTGTAAGCACGCAGACCTGAATTTGAGTTCTAGAACTCAGGTAGAAACAGCTGCGTGACATGGTGCATGCTGAAACCCCAGGATTTGGGAAATGGAGACAGGAAGCCCCCCAGCCTAGTCTACTTGGAGATTCAGACCAGTGAGAGATCCTGTCTCAACAAACTTTTTGTTTTACTGCGTGTGTGTGTGTGTGTATGAGTGTGTATGTGTGTATATGTGTGTGGGGTGCACGTGCACATTTGCACATGTGTAGGCACAAGTATGGAGGTCAAAGGACAAGGTGTGGAGTTGTCTCTCTCCTTTCAATATGTGGGTTTGGAAGATGGAACACAGTCGTCCAGCTTTGCGGCCAGTGCTCACCCAGCCAACCATCTCACAGGAGCATTTCTGAGATGCATGAGACGTCCACCTGTCAGCCCTTCCTTCTGCCGTCAGCCCCCCAGGGATATCTGTCTTATTGGCCACAACACCTCTGATGGTCCTACCCTCACTCTGTATTTGCTGTTAGAATAACTAATTCTTTTAAGAGTAAACTGAATGTCTGCACCAGCAGTCAGGGGGGAGCCACTGGAAACTCCCGAGCTGAGTCTGGTCTACAGAGATCACTGTGGTACTTTGATGGAAGCGATGCCAAGGGCATTCATTTCTTTGCGTTAGATGCCAAAATTTAAAAATTGCAAAATGTCACATAAATGTCACATTCCTGACTTCCCTTGAAGAATCACGATATCTGCCAAGACTAAACCTGTATTTCATAGACAGCAATAACAGCCAGATCTTAACAGTGTCTTCCCCTTATTGGGATAGTCCATGGCTCATCCTGGTTCCCCAAATCCTGCAGGCCCCTGAGTCTGTGAATCTTGTCCTGCTAGATCTCCTCCTTATCACAGCACCCAAGCCCTCACACTTAACAATGTCAGCCTTACTTCTATGGCCACACAAACACACCTCAATGACCCTCATGCATGGCCTGTCTTTTTAAGACCTATGACCTTTTGTTTAAAATTTTAAACCTAGTATGTCTATTTGTCTCTTTCCCACTTGTTTTAGAAACTATGAAATTTCTGGATTCCACACCAGAGACCATGATTCAGGAGGTCTGATGTGGGAGAACTCACACTTCTGATAAGCGTTCCCAGGTGATTTTGATGAGAGTGGCTGACAAGAGCACTGTGAGAGAGAAACCTCTAACGTTAACAATGTTTACGTCGGTTAACACGTTAATGCTTCTCTGACATCTAAAGAGCTAAACCCCATCTCCAGTTCTGTTTCAAGAGAGTATAAAGTTCTAAGATTTATAGACCAAAGTTCTGAAGCTTGCCTGTTTGAGATTTCTCTTTGGAATTTGTTGCTTGACTTTTGGAAGGGTAGCTTACTTCCCCAGGGACTCGAATCACAAGTGTCTCCAAATCCTACAAGAAGAGAGAAACTTTAGAAACACAATGCGAGTTGACAGCTAATGGAAGCGTGGTACACGTTCTGCAAGGGCTCTCTCTACCCAGGATGGCTAAGAAGGACGAGGTCAGTGGGCAAGGCGCTTCCTATACAGGGATGAGGCTTGCATTCAGCGTTCACAGCTTCCACATAACATCTGTGCCTGAGATGACTGGCCACAAATATGTCGGTGAAGCCATAATGAAAAAAAGAAAAGAAATTAAAAGAAGGAAAGTAATGGGTTCCTCATTTGCTTTTGATTGCTGTGATAAATGCCATGACCAAAAGCAACTTGGGGAGGAAGGGGGTTAACTTCAGCTTATAATTTATCATCATGGAGGACATCAGAGCAGGAAATGGGAGACCACACGGGGGGGGGGAGCGCTGCTTAAGGGGTTGCTGCCTATGACTTATTCAGTTTGCTTTCACCTTCTCGGGGATGGTACTGCCCACAGGATGACCTTCCCACATATCAGTTGAGGCTCCCTCTTCCTGGATGACGCTAGTCTGTGTAAAGTTGACAAAACACTAGCCAGCACAATGACTGATCCTCAATAATCAAAACTGATTTATATAGAGACTATAAATGCAAGAAAAGCTAAGAAAATGAAACTATGAAGCACATAAGTTAGTTTATTAGCCACTATGTTAAAAAACCTAAAGCCATCACTATTTAGTCATGTTTTAAAATTCAAGTATATGACAAACGGAAACTTATTCAGTATTTTCAATGGTCTGCATGTAATTAAGTATTCTACACATGGGGAAAAGGTATTCACTGGAAGTGGTTTCCCAGCAACAGCCTTACGCCTTCACAGGTCAGCATACACCGACTTCTAGCCTGCAGGACACATCCAGTCTTGAGTTAGGGATGTAAGAAATACACTCAGTGGCCACATCACACATTTCCAGGCCTATTCTGTGTAGCTGAACAAGTTCTGATGTTCCTGAGAAAAGTCTGCGCTCTTTAGGATTCCAAAACAATCACATCTGAATTCTCGCTGGCTCCTGAGGCTGTTGCTCTTCTCCGATTGTCTAGACAGTCGCAGATGGAGCATATCGAGAATCAACCATGGGAGGAAGAACGCTCCACAGGCTGAGGAACTGGCTTCTTCTCTCTGCCCCCATGGGAAGAGCATCACCATTTTTGCCTCTAGTCACATAACTACTAAGAATTTCAATGATCTGTTTTAGCAAATTTGTCTATATCAAATAAGTTAAGTCTCATGACTGTGGATTTATGTATGATTTAAATGCACCTTCTGATAAAGCACTAGCCCTTTTTTCTTACTTCTCAATTATTTATGCCTGAAAAGTGAGCATTTCCACCAGAAGCCAAGGCTATTTTCTTTTCTTGCAAGCAGAAAAATATTCTTAAAATCATAATACTTTTTTATTCCACAGAGTAGTGGGCCCTGTGTGAACTCAGAAGGAAGGCCAGAGTAGGCCATTTTATGAGGAAAAGCTTAATAAACAGAACAGATTTAAAGAGAACATTTAAGAAAAGACAGGAGGGCAGGAGAGATGGTTCAGTGGTTAAGGGCACTGGCTGCTCCTCTAGAGGACCTGGGTTTTAGTCTCAGCAGCCACACGGCTGCTCATTCCATCAGTAACCCAAGTCCAGGGGATCAAATGCCCTCTTCTGGTGTCTATGGGCACTGCATGTATGTACACAGCATATACGCAAAATACTTATTTATACATATAAGGTAAAATAATAAAACACATTTTAAAAAGAGAGGGAAAACGGCAGAAGAGCCCATTTTACTTTCCATAACCTCACAAGGAACAACCTCGGCCTCTGCCCTCAGGGAAACACTCTGTGGAAGACACACTTCCCTTTTTAGTTTTGATAAAAAATTATAACCTTACTTAAATAAACACATACAAAAAGGCAAGAAAAAGGAGTCTCAGGGACCACATTAACATATACAAAGAATTTCTAATGAAATGACTTTATGAAAAGAGCGGTTTTACCTGATACAGCTGTCTTCTCGGCCTTGGCTGAAAAGCTCATAACTTCTACTAAGCTTTCATCATCAAAGTCATCCCAAACTTCATTTCCCAACTCAAAGTTCACATCCAAGACTTCAGAACACTTGCTTTCACCCATAACACTGTGGTTTCCAGATGTGTTAGCGTGCCTGCTGAACATCACTGTTTGAGGAGTCCTTTCATTTGAAGTTATACAAGAGCTCCATCTGAGAAAATCTGTGATGTGTGTACAAGAGTGTAGGCACTTGTTAAACCACACAAGCAGCATTTTGAACTGATATGTGATACATCTTTCAACTGCTATGCAGGGGTCTTGAGCCCCAATTTTCAAAGTCACATGTTGTCAAGCACTGACGGATATTTCGTTCAGACAGTGCTAGTTACTGGATTACATGAACTGATAGGTCCACTAAACTTCATTTTTAATCAATTAATTTTTGCATCATTATTATTGTGTATGTGTGTGATCTGCGCTTGAGGCTGCACATGTCGAGTACACTGGTAGAGAGCAGAGCATCACTGTGTGGGGCCAGTTCTCTCCTTCTACCTTTACGTGGATCCTGGGGTTGAACTCGGGTCTCTAGACTTGCCACCACAATCTCCCACCCACTGGGCAATCTTGCCAGTCCCATGAGGTTAATGGGTTTTAATTCCTACAGTAAACAGCTTGGTGGCAGCACATGCTACAGTATTTTCCTGTACAGAAAATGCTAAGGATACCAGTAACAGTAACATACAGTAGATTAGAAAGTTTTAGATTTTCAGTACTATCATCTTTTTTTATAACATGATTTATTTGGTGAGAATTTATCTTAAATTAACATAAAATGTTTAGTATTTTCTTAGTACTTTAACAGTGTTTGAAAGATCTCTGAGAATGTAACAAGAACTCCTCGACCATCCCATCCTTATCTTCATCTGTTCACACCCACTTCTGTAAGGTGTGCTACAACTGCAGTTCATGTTGACGCACACAGCATGAGCCACATAAGAACAGAAACGGCATTAAATGCCATGGAAGTGCAGTGAAGAGGACATTAGAGTCAGAGCCACTGAAGATCAAACCATGAGAAGGAGCAGCGCACTCTCTCGGCTGATGAGGCTGCAGCTGTGGAGCAGGCACAATATTCTCTGAGGTGAGCAGTGCAGAGAGGACAAGGGGCGGGGCGGCGGGAGAGGCGAGAGAGGCAGGACCTAGGAGTCTTCAGAATTTCTGGAGCACAAAGCGAGAGAAAGGAATTGCACAGGCAGGCACGTGCCAGATCATGCCAGTCACGTGACACATGAAGCGGCTTTCTTATCAGCACAAGACAACTGCTGAAGATGCTCCTCTGAGGAGGTTATGTAATCAGACACCTGGAGTATTATTTATGGACTGGAGGATAGGGAGATGCAGCATGGAAAATACAAGAAAGTTAGTGAAATAAGGAGAGGCCCTGAGCATTTACATCTAGGATTAGTAAACACTGTAGCAGAGGGACAGAGAGGAAGTGCATGACACAGATGTGCAGGTCGTGGTGCTGAGGCACACATCGAGCAGGAGAGTCAGAGTCACCCTTTACCTCTCTTTCTCAGAGCATGCCCTGATCTGAGGGGAGAAGGGATGGAATGCAGCACAGAAGGACCAGAGGGCAGTGGAGGAACCGCTAACTTTCAGGCAGCTATAGCCAGGAGTGTGGTTGTAGGCATGAATTTGTACTTAGAAAAAGACAGACTTAGCAATCACCAAGAGTTAGCTGGTGATTTCAGACATGGCTTAGGAGGATCTGTGTAGACATTTTTGCAGTAAAAAGAATATAGAGAGAGGAAGGAGGACGTGGGGAGAAGCATGAAGCAGAGGAGGGGAGACAGGGACAAGAGAAGGATAGATGGATCCAAGTAGAACATCAACCGGCAAGAAGAAAAGTCCAACAAGAGTCTGAAAAGAAGTCAATAGGATGGCTTCACTGGAACCCAGGGAGAAGCTTTCCAAAGGAAGGAACAGAAGTGTGAAATCTCTCAGAGAAGAATTCATGGAACTGAGCACCTGAGTCACTAAATGGTCCAAAGGAAGAGCAATTTCAAAGTAAGGATGAAGAACCCAAAGTTTGGTGAGTGAGAAATGACAAGATGGAAGAAATGAGTGTGAATTTCTCTCATGCTCTTTAATTTGACAAGAAAGCAAGACACACAGGGAGCACATGGGATGCTGACTCCTCCTCATCATCATCATCATCACCATCATCATCTCTCTGGCATGCTAAACTGCCCATCAGTAGAAGCGCCCCTCCTTTTCCGTAGGGAAAACAGCTTCTGTCACTCTAGGCGATCCTGATGAAGTCACCAATCACGATTCCCTGCTTTTCCTGGGGCAACAGAAACAGAATGACCACTCCCCAGCTATAGAGATTTATATTACTCAAAACAGACTGGTCAGAGTAATTTCAGGTCTGCACACCTACAAGTGCAAAGTACCTTTCTCTATGAGAGTGTTAAACTGGGAAGATGGAAATCTGGAAGGACTTACTGTGTGAGAACGCCTATGTAACAAGTGAAGTCAATTAACACAGCTAAAAGACTGAGAGAAAGTCTCTGGGACAGTCTGAGTACCTGGGGCTGGAAGGTTAAAGCCTGAGGCCGACTGGGACCTCCAGTTAAATGGAGATAACCAGTTGTGTGGAAGTCCCTTTGTGTAGAATTTCAGATCACTTATTATTACAAAGGTCATGCATGATTAGCTAGAGGGAAACTTGTTACAGCTGAAGATGAAAAGCCTTAGGCATATTTATATTCTACAAGGAAAAGGACAACAGAGAGCAGATAGTGAACCGGGTGTGGGACGCACACCTGTAATTCAGCACCTGGGAGGCACAGGCAAAAGAATAACAAATTAGCAGGTGGTAAGCATAGTGAGTTCTAAGCCAGACGGGGTGTACAGAGAGACCTTGTCTCAAAAAATAAACCAAAACCAAAAGGTAGACAATGCAAATACTGGATAGAGGCGAGAATAAGTGACCTTCTAAATTCCCAGAGAAAGCAAGATTAGACAGAATTCACATTAAGCCTTGAATAGAAGAAAAAATAATTCTTCTTTTAAGACAACAGAGGGTTAATGAGAGATGCAAAATCAGAGAAATCCATCAGCTGGGAGAGGTGGGGTGAGATGGTAGGAAGTAGAAAGAGTTCATATACTATAAGTTCAACACTCAATTTTCTACTGATAACTAAAAGTCAATTTCATTTTCTAGAAATGGCATTGGACTGGGAATCAGGAGATGTGGAATCTATTTCTGGCCCTGCCATTAATTAGGTGTGTGATTTTGGGCGAGTCATTTAATCTCTTAGAATCTTGGCTTCCTTTACTGTAAAATGAGAAACTGCACAAAGGTCCCTTCCAAATTAAATTTTATGATTCAAAATGCTTTCTCATATAATTTCTAATACTTTTTCCTTTTTCTCTTTGTGAAACTGGAATACAGATAATAAAATTGTCATGTTTTTCTTAAAACACTCCCAATACTTAGAATGTTTTGACAATAAAGACTGACATATGGGAAGTATAACAAACAGACTTAATTGCCACCATTAAGAACAGCAGATACTACTTCAGGAGCTTTGTAGCATTATCTCATTTAATCCTGAAACATCTGAAATAATCGGGGAAGAGACTTGAGATGAAGGACCTAAGTACACTAAGAGGGGCTGCAGTGAATGGCAGAATTAGAATGCAGACCCAGAACGACTGTCTAGGTCCTGTCAGCCTGCATATGGCTCCTTCCTTAAAATGAGAGGGGGAGGGAAGATGAGAGAGAGAGAAAGACAAAGTGGCTCGTTCAGTAAAACCAGAACACGGTTATTGTTGGGGTTAAAGTTTCCAGTCAAGGCTTTTATATCATAATATAAATTAGAGTTTGAGTAATGAGTAGAAAAAAGTGGGAAACAATAGACAGAAGACGCAGCCGGGGGGCGGGGGGAGATAAGCTGTGCACAGGAGAGAACTGCAGCAGTGTAAGAAAGGAACAAGTCAGAGGGCCAATGGAGGCCACGATGCCATCAGTGTTAGCGGACCTCTATGCCTCTCAGATCACATATCCAGTTACTTATCACTGTGACACACTGTGATGGAACCCAGGATGTCAGCAACACCGAGCAAGCCCTGCTCCACTGAGCTGCACATGCAGCTGCCCAGGGCCTTAAACTGTGACCAAAGGAAACAAAGTAACAGAATGAAGCCAGTGCCAGACATGAGAGTGTGCTCAGGAAATCCAAAGCTCACAGTCATTTATATTGAGATACAGCCTCTTGAACAAATCACTCACAGGTTAGGGCTAGTTCTCATCTTTCAATATATCACACCATTAACAGAATGAACCAGGGAAATAACACTAATGACATAGGGATCCAACATAATAGTGCTGAAGAATTCCTATGTATTGTTGCATTTTTAATGATAAGACACAGATAAAAGCAAATCTAGATCACTAAACTTTTGTGCCTCTCAAACTAGCAATCATCTCATTTTACCTAGAGATTGTAAAAATCATAGACTTAGGAATGGAGGACATACTAATAGTCAGCCATCTTGATACTTTCATTTCATTCATTCATTCATTCATTCATTCATAGTTTCTGTTTTCGAGACAGTGTTTCTCTGTGTAGCCCTGGCTGTCCTAGAACTCACTCTGTAGACCAGGCTGCCCTTGAACTTAGAGATCCACCTGCCTCTGCCTCCTGGGTGCTGGGAATAAAGGCTGTGCCACCTGTCATGATACCTTCATTTTAATATTATTTACATTTTGTGTGTGTGTGTGTGTGAGAGAGAGAGAGATTGCATACATGCCCTTGTGTGTATGTGGAGGTCAAAGGACAGCATGCAGGAGTGAAATCTCTTCCCACCTAGTGACCTCTGGAGAACAGGTTATCAGAAACAAACACTTTATCCACTAAGCCGCCTCACTGGCTCCCAATACTTTCCTCTGAAAGATGAGAATAAGACCCCAAAAGGTTAAACAATTTCCCCCAGGTCACACAACTATTTTATGAAACTGGACTAATTTTACAGCCATTATTTAAATTTCTAAAAATATGTAAAGTAGTAATTCATCGGTTAGAGCCCTTGTTCACACAAGGCTTCCTGATTCCCCCAGTTGTCCCTCACATTGTTTTCAGATAAACAGTCAGCACTTCGTAGGGAAGATACCGAAAAGTCTTTGATACACAGCAAGACAATTGGAAATAACCTAAGATTTTGAAATTGGTTCAAAAATACAAGAAAAAACTGTTGTCAGTTGATATTCATAATTTTTTTAGATGCTGGGTTTTTGTTTAAATGACTTGTTAACCTTAGTAATATCAAACTCCCACACAAGTCAATAGCAACAGTAATTTACCTTTGCCATGATATTCAGATGGTTCCTGTGGAACTTCTCCATAGACTTCACACTCACTCCATGTTTCTGACATTGGCAACTCTGGGATGTTTAAAGATCCTGACCTTTATGATGATAAACAAAACCACAGAGAAGAAGGATGATGAAGCTGACCTTGGAAACTAGACACTCCTATAAATAAAAAGAGCATGGTCTACTAGTTTGACAATTCTGGGAAATTCATTACTGTCTCCACCAAACCTCAAACTGCCCTGAACTCCTGTCTCCTCCTGCCTTATATTCCTCTCTCTGTGTACCCTATAAAGATTTGTCACTTGTACTGTCTTAATAAAACGCTGATTTGCCAGTAGCCAGGCAGAAAGTATAGGTGGGGCGACGAGAACAGGAGAATTCTTAGAAGAGGAAAGGCTGAGTCTGCAGACACAGAGAAAGCAAGATGTGACTGCCTCCCTGATAAAAGGTACCAAGCCATGTGGCTAACACAGACAAGAATTATGTGTTAACGTAGGATATAAGAGTTAATAAGAAACCTGAGCTACTAGACCAACCAGTTTATAATTAATGTAGGCCTCTGTGTGTTTTTTGGGGGGACTGAACGACTATGGGACTAGGTGGGAGAGAAAACCTCTTTCAACATCTCTGCCTACCTATATAGCTTCTGTCTCCACCTCCCTAGTACTGTGATTAAAGCTGCGGGATCCCACATGCTGGGATCACCTTTGTGTAAGCTCTTTCTCTTTCAGACAGATTCAATCTCTTATAGCCCAGGGTAGCCTTGAACTAACAGAGATCCCTCTGCCTCTGTCTCCTGAGTCCTAGAATTAAAGTGTGTATCACCACTGCCTGACCTATAGTAGCCTATGATGGAAGAGGCTGATACGTCATCATCTTTACGTGCCCCAGTAGATACCTTCCATCATTGTGCAGTCTTTAAAAATCTAATGATAAGGTTGTTCTCAGTTAGATAACTGAAGTCTAGACATCTAGAAATGGTGCTGAATCTAGACTTCTGATTGGTTGGCTCTTGCTCCATATTGGTTGCTAAATAAACAGAATGTTATCTTTGCAGATAGGATAGTGCTATCCTCCTCCTATCTGAGAGACAGAATAAGTCTTGTTGGCTGGAGGGAGGGGAATCACTTTCTTCAGTGAGGTAGCTACTGATAAGTTGCCTATGCTCCAGCAAACAATCTCCCACAAATGCTTATGCAAAGAATTCTAATTAATCTCAGTGGATCACACACAGCAAAGACATGAAAGCAGGAGGGTGTGCAGGAAAGAAGTGTTTCAGCAGAGAAGGAAAGTGGGTAAGACAGGGAATAGAGTGAAGGAACTAAAATTTACTATGTGCAAGTATTAAACTGTAAAGAATAAAAAATTGGTTTATAATGCAGAAAAGAATATTCTGAATAGGATAAGATGAGTAGGAAATTATATATAAAATATTCTCTTCTCTGACTCATGATATAAGAAAAGAACAATAAATTATCATCTGAAGTCCTCTGCTTATTAATTGGGAGGTGTGCATTTTTATTAAGAAAATGAGATAAACATTATGTATTGAAGTATACAATTATAATCTCAGCACCTGAGGGGTTAAGACAATAGGATTATTAATTCAAAACCAGGCTAGACTATATAATGAATTCAATCCAAGCCAGGGCTACAAACCAAGATGTCTCAAAACATCAATCAGTAAATAGGTACTAAAAATAGCATAAGAAAATTATTTTATGAGCTAGGTTGTCATGAAGGTCAAAAGATATATTGCACAGGCAAAATCTCAAATTAGAATGTATTTTTCAAGCCTAAGGTGTTATTAGTATGGAATGAGCACCTGCAGGGAAAGATTAGGCTTTCCTTGTAAAACACAGTATCTCCTGTCTCAAAGAACCAGATGAGGACATAGGGATGGGTAGTTTCCTAGGAAAGAGGGCACTCAAAGAATGGCAACATATGAGATACTGAAACCCTTAGAGTAGTATTGCTTTATAATGAAATTAAATGATTACTGTGATTTTCATTGAACAGTCAGTGACTAACTTCCCCTGAATAAGTGGCTATCTGGAGGAGCAACAGTTAAATGAACATTTTATCTTAGATATTAACATTGGCTTTGTACCTTGATATACTGGAAAGGGAAGGTCTTGGAGTAAAACCAAACTCCTTAAGGTCCACATTTTGAGATTTGTTCATCTGTATCTGTTGATAAAAAAGCACCTTTCCAAGTTCAACTGTCACTTTCACAAATAAACCAAACAGTAAAGATAGTACTGGTGAGTAAGGCCCAGAAATCAATAAACTAGGAGAGTGTTGGGCTAGTTCTCAACTCAAATATTCTTCTCAGGCCCTTCTTTTTTTATTTATTTTTGACATGGAGAATGGTTTATTGTAATTTTTACTGTCTTCCCTTTTTAATTGATTTTTATTGAGCTCTACATTTTTCTCTGCTCCCCTCCCTGCCTCTCCCCTCCCTCCTTCAACCCTCCCCCAAGGTCCCCATGCTCCCAATTTATTCAGGAGATCTTGTCTTTTTCTATTTCCCATGTAGATTAGATCTATGTAAGTCTCTCTTAGTGTCCTCATTGTTGTCTAAGTTCTCTGGGATTGTGGTTTGTAGGCTGGTTTTCTTTGCTTTATGTTTAAAATCCACCTATGAGTGAGTACATGTGATAATTGTCTTTCTGGGTCTGGGTTATCTCACTCAAAATAATGCTTTCTAGCTCCATCCATTTTCCTGCAAAATTCAAGCTGTCGTTATTTTTTCTGCTGTGTAGTACTCCATTGTGTAAATGTACCACATTTTCCTTATCCATTCTTCGATCAAGGGGCATTTAGGTTGTTTCCAGGTTCTGGTTATGACAAACAAAGCTTCTATGAATATAGCTGAGCAAATGTCCTTGTGACATGATTGAGCATCCTTTGCCTATAATACCCAAAAGTGGTATTGCTGGGTCTTGAGGAAGGTTGTTTCCTAATTTTCTGAGAAATTGCCACACTGACATCCAAAGGGGTTGTACTAGCTTGCATTCCCACCAGCAATGTAGAAATGTTTCCTTTTACCCCACAACTTCTCCAGCATAAGTTATCATCAGTGTTTTTGATCTTGGCCACTCTTACAGGTGTAAGATGGAATCTCAGAGTTGTTTTGATTTGCATTTCTCTGATGACTAAGGATGTTGAACATTTCCTTAAGTGTCTTTCAGTCATTTTTGATTCCTCCTTTGAGAGTTCTATGTTTAGGTTTGTACTCCATTTTTTATTGGATTATGTGATCTTTTGGTGTCCAATTTCTTGAATTCTTTGTACATTTTGGAGATCAGACCTCTGTCTGATGTGGAGTTAGTGAAGATCTTTTTCCATTCTGTAGGCTGTCATTTTGTCTTGTTGACTGTATCCTTTGCTTTACAGAAGTTTTTCAGTTTCAAGAGGTTCCATTTACTAATTGTTTCTCTCAGTGTCTGTGTTTCTGGGGTTATACTTAGGAAGTAATCTCCTGTGCCAATGCGTTCAAGTGTATTTCCCACTTTCTCTTCTATAAGGTTCACAGTGTGCCTGGCTTTATGTTGAGGTCTTTGAACCATCTGGACTTGAGTTTTGTGCATGGTGACAGATATGGATCTATTTTTATTCTCCTACATGTTGATATTCAGTTATCCCAGCACCACTTGTTAAATATGCTTTCTTTTTTTTCCATTTGATATTTTTTGCTTCTTTGTCAAAATTCAGGTGTTCAAAGATGTGTGGATTGATATCTGGGTCTTCTATTCGGTTCCATTGGTCCTCCTGTCCATTCTTATGCCAGTACCAAGCTATTTTCAGTACTGTAGCTTTGTAGTAGAGTTTAAAGTCAGGGATTGTGATGCCTTCAGAAGTTCTTTTATTGCCTAGGATTGTTTTGGCTATCCTGGGTTTTTTGCTTTTCCATATGAAGTTGAGTACCATTCTTTCGAGGTCTGTGAAGGATTTTGCTGGGCATTGGATCCGTAGATTACTTTTGGTAAGACTGCCATTTTTACGATGTTAATTCTGCCCACCCTAAAGCATGGGAGATCTTTTCACTTTCTGGTGTCTTCTTCAATTTCTTTCTTCAAAGATTTAAAGCTCTTGTCATACAAGTCTTCCACTTGTTTGGTGGATTTCTCAAATATTCTTCTCAGGCCCTTCTTAAATATAGACAGTTTTCATGGTTTTTGTTTTGCTTTTGTTTTTCGCTTATTTTAAGATGACCTTCTCTTCTTGCTCTACATGTGATATTTTCAGAAAAAGATCTTTTGACTTCCATGACTTAAATTATTATCTCACTTTGGATGACTCTCAAGTCTGTATTTCTACTTTAGTTTCCCTTCTGATTTCCAGTTAGCCAGCTTCCTCTAGGACACCTCTAGTGGGTATCTCATTTCTTGTGGCAGTGGCACTGGGAACTGAATGCAGGATTCCAAGGAGAAGCACCCCACAGGTGCATGCATTTCAACACTTGGTCCCCAGCTGGCGGCACTGACTGGGAAGATTTACCAAGTATGGCCTTACTGGAGGAACAGGCCACTAGAGGTAGCTTTTAAAGAATTTAAAGATTTAAAGAATCCTACCATTTCAAATTACTCTTTTCTCTCTGCTTCATGCTTGCAGTTCAAGCTGTGAGCCCCTAGCTCCAGCCACCATGCCTACTGCTCTATAAACCCAAATAAACTCTTTTGTAAGTTGCTTTTGTCATGTTGTTTTACCACATCAAAAGAAAAGAAACAGAAACTTATACAATTCTCTAGCTAGACTAAACCACTGAGCACGTTACTATCCCAGCCCACTATCTAGTGTCTCTTAAACTCAATCTATTCTGCCTTTGTTCCCCCAAACTTGATTTCCCCTTTACTCTCGCTTTCCCAGAGGGGCCCAACTTTCCTCCCAGTAAATCAGCCAGAAAGCTGATCATTGGTTTTGACTACTCTTCCATCTCACCCCTCAAACCAATTTACCTCAAACCAATGTACCTCTCACCATTGCCTACCTCCACTAACTTAGATTACCATCAGTTTGCTTCAATAATTACAAAACAACCTATTGGCTTTCCATGTTCCTATTTTTTTAATCTTCTAATCCTTTCTCTTTATTACAACCAGAATGTCCTTTACAAAACCCAACTCTAATCAGGCCATTGATTAAAGCACTTTAATGTTTCTAAATAATTTGAGGATGTAAAATAAATCTCTAAAATAACAAAATGGTTTGCATGATCTAATTCCTATTTACTTCTTCAGCCTTAATGCTCACTATCTAAAATTAATTTCCAGACATACTGTATTATTTCAGCTACTTGGAAGATCTCTCTGCCACCACCAAATACTCCAGAACTTTAAAATTTAGTCTATAGGTCTCCATCACTATCGTGGTGCCCGTTCTGTATCCTTGGATTATTGTTTCAGCCTCAGTCACATCTATGAGGAGCCTTTCCTGGCTCATCAGCCATGTCCTGAACACACTTTTTACCTAAAGTCACGTGCCTTATGCTTCCTTCACAGAAGCACTCACTATACTAGGGGAAAGGCCTATTTGCTTATTTGTATTCTTTATTCAATAGAAACTCAGTGAGGACAGAGACTACGTCTGCCCTACTTGCCACTATAAACTTGGTTCTTTAAAAGATGGGAAGAAACAAGAGTATGGAAGAAATGCAGGAATGAAGGTGGGGGAAAGGAAAGAACGGAGGGAGAGAAAACTTAAATTATTTTGCTTTTTAATTTTTTGAGACAGGGTCTTTCCGTGTAGCCTTGGCTGTCTTGAAACTCACTGTGTAACCAAACTGGCCTCAAACTCAGAGATCCACCTGCCTCTGCCTCCCGAGTGCCGGGATTAAAGATGTGCACCACCAGCACCCAAGTCACAAAACTCTTCTCAGAAGACATAGTGATCACTTTACATCTCATCATTATTTCCCAGTCTTCCCTTTATTTAGCCTCACTGAACTGTCATTGTATGAAGCCTACACAAGGATTCCTCCAGGATGTGATGACTTGGGCTTAAAGGAAGTCTACCCATGACATTCCCTCATCACCGGGAGGAAGGCTCTTTCTTGTTCATTCACATACTTAAGGCCAAGAGTCCAAATTAACTTCAGAATTTCCAGTCCATTCCAGTTTGAAGCCAAGACAGGGCAAGACTGTCGAGTTCCAACCATAAATCAAGCTCAGATTTCTCTTTCTAGACTAAGGTGAGGAAAGGGCTGGACAGATATCTTCCAAAAGTAGATTTATAGATTGATTATAATTATGAGATTCCTAGTCAAGCCTACTGTAAATAACTTCCCAAAACACCTCCGATTATCCACCTACCTTACTGATTGCATTCATTTAAGTGCAGAACAAAGGACAGATGCCATTAAAGCTAACCTTGAGTCGTTTTACTGGGGGAAGAGAAGAGACAGCATCTCTGCTTTTTAAGTCAGACAAATAGGAAGACATTGCTGACTCTTTAACTTCTGCCTTTTGTGGAACTCCAATTTTACCTATTAAAAGAGATTGTAGATTATCTTCTTTTGTTTTTGTTTTTAAGTAAGGCAGGATCTTGTTATGCAGCCCATTCTGGTCTTCAACTCACAGCCCTCCTGCCTCCGCCTCCCAAGTATCGGACAATAGATTTGACCAATATGGTCAGCGCGATTTTAGAATTTTTGTCTTACATTTTTGGTAGTATGAAAAAAAATTAAATGTCTTTGAAACATGAAATTTAATGTCTACTTTTCTCATGTTGTTCTCCCTACCACAAAGGAAAACTCTTTGAAGAGTTTTAAGTAGGAATGGTATAAATATCATATCTAGAAAATTAATGTATCATTATTATTAACTCAAGATGTTTATTTTTAATTCATTTTATCCTTAATTATAAATGTGTGTATGTGTGCACATGAGTGCAGGTGCCCTTGGATGTCAGAAGAGGGTATCAGAGCCTCTGGAACTGAAGTTGTAGATAGCGGTAGGTGATGAGAAATGAACTCGTCCTTTGTAAGAGCAGGAAGTAACCACTGAATCATTTCTCCACTCCATATTCACTACAAACATTTTGATTCTGAAAAAATCTTAGCAGAACTCACAGCAGTCATGTGCACATGTATGTTTACTTTTACAGTGATGATTGCATTCTCGGTTCCCAGGTTTTTTGCAGGTAGCCATTCCTAAATTAATGTAAGAAAAATGCATTTGTTATTACATATACTCTTACAAATTTAATACAAATACTTTAAGTTTATTCTTTTCTCTAGGTAGTAGCAAGAATACAACTTTCATACTTCCTCACATATTAACACACACAGTTTAAACAGGATATTTCTGATAACACACTCTGTCTGCTTTCAGTTCCATTCCAGTTTTTCATATGGAGCATCTAGCCACCCACAGCTGCTTTCATTTTTCTCCAATATAAGTACAACCAATGCAGCAGAATATTGACAACAAGTTTTATCCTCGTGGAAGTAAGAATGAAGATAGGGATTTAAAACTTTGTTCCATACTCAAGGCTGAGCATTTGAAAACCAGCAAATCTCACAGCACTGAGGTGGCATACTGACTAATTAGTAGACAGGACATTATAAATATTTTTGAGTTATAAGTAAGTGATTTAGAGGCACAAAATTTGCTACAAGAATTCAAAGAAAGAAAAGATCACTTCCAGATTGGTGACTCTAAACTGTAACAAACATATCCAAATATAAAATTTATTGAAATATAATATATGTATATGATATCCACTGATATGTGGGCTTTCTGGTTTCTCGCTGTGTTAACAGCACTAGGGATTGAGCCCATGGCTGTGGATGCTAAACAGGCACTCTATTGCCTGCGCTGGTCTTGAACTCCTAAGCCGCCTGCCTCAGTTCCCCAAGCAGAGTTACAGGCCTGCCACATTTGCTATGCTTTAAAGACATTTTTCTTGATCTTGGTTCTGACTAGTAACACTGGGAAAGGGAGACTATTTTAATTGTCCTCATAGAATAGACGGGATCTGGACATGGGAAGGGGACAAGGGGAAGATATTCCAGACAGAGGCCACGGTACTCAAAGGCAGTAAACCACATGTGGTGAGAACTAATGCCTGCTTTTACTGGAACACAAATTTTATTTTTTTTATTTTTTTTGTACTTCAATTTTTATTTGAGTATTGACAAAACAACAACAATAACAAAACAGGACAAAATGGTAAGAAAACAAGATTATAGCTGGATATATATGTATGGATTTTGGTTTCTTCTGAGAACAAAGATAATCCTTTAGGAATGTATTATTCTCAGGTCACTATATTGAGTTGCTTACACAGGGGAATGAAAACCCTTCATGTAATAAACTTTGAATCCAAAGTCCTATTCTCAGTTGTAGTATTTCTGACTCATTTGCCACATTAAAATAAACCCTAAACATTTCAACTCAGAATTATTTTTTTGTTTGTTTGTTTATTTTTTTTGAGATAAGGTCTCTGTCTGCAGTCCTGGCTGTCCTCAAAACTCACAGAGATCTGCCTGCCTCTGCCTCCCAAGTGCTGGGATTAAAGGCGTGCGCCACCATCACCTAGCTCCCAACCAGAATTTTTATGAACAAAAAAGAATCTTAACACCCATTCAGTTGCATTGTACAATCTCAAAATCTAAATTCAGGAAAATTGAAAATGACTCATAAAAGGCACTGAAGTTGGCAAACCCAGCAGTGTAGTTTTCAATTGGGATTAAGCACAGCAAGTGTCTACAGACCACTACTGGCTGTGTGCAGGCTGGTGTGTCAGAGAGTAAGGTGGCTTTACACTCTCGGGGCTAGTGACAAGGAAAGTAAGCGTAAGCAACTGAACCAGGTGGACAGTTTAAACTGCAGTGCAATGCTCTTAAACGAATCCTAAAGTATGAGATCTATTTGTCATATAATCATGTTCAATGAAGTCTCAGGAAAAATATTAAGACTAGGAAACTTCTACATTACTTAATTATCATTACACTGACAACTAAGTAAAAGCATACGGAAGTTCTGAGAAATAAAAATTGCTTTTTCAGTTATTGCTGGTACGTTCTCTATGATTATGACATGACTCCCAGTAGCTTTAATTTTTCACTCCCACAAGAAAAGTTTTTAATCTAGCAATGTTTTGAGAACTGCTACTGAAGTTTGAGATAGTCAAGAACCCTTTATTTCCCTGCCCCCTGCTTTCTCACTGTTGGAACAACTAGGATTAAGTGACAAGCACACGTTTTTGCCATTGCCTATCAGAAAGCTGATACCAGTCAAAGAATGAGACAATACAATCTTTCTCAGAAAGTGGGTGTACATACAGGGACTGCAGACCTGCTGCTAACACTGTGGTAGCCAGCCCCACTTGAAGCAACATCTCACTTGCCTAGCAGCTGCTTTTGTATCTTTGCTCTATTCCAAAACCAGAAGTTTCCTCTTGAAAAGTCAGCATCATTACTACAGCCACACTTTCAAATAACTTGGATCTGAGTTTGCGGAACACAAATTTCAATTGACCTAGAAATACTGAACAGCTCTGAGGACCTTCCCAACCTTCCTCGGCCTTTTCATTCTCAATGTTGTTGTTTAGTCGTTGTCAAGTCATGAAACAACTAGGTACTTGTATCCGTAGCAGCCTGGGATTAATGGATGAGGCTTCTCACTACAAAGGCAGATGTTTGGTCTCTGAAGACCAAGAAGGTCAGTATGCTAGGCACTGTTATGGTCTGGGTATAAAGTCTCCCGAAGGCTCCCGTATTGGTCCCTGATTGCTGAGTACAACCACTGCAATGTGACTGATGCCTGCAGGCCCCTACTTTCCCCAGTGAACTAATCCAACGTCATTATGGGAGGCAGGGGTCTAGCTCTACAAACTTGCTGGAGGAATGACTGTGAAGGGCCTATCTCATCCCTAGCTCCCATTTGTGTCTTTCTTGCTCCATATGCCATCAGGTGGGCAGCACTGTTCTACCACACCCTTACCCCATGGTGTGCTACCTCACTGCAAGGCACAAAATCACTGCGGCTGGCCCTGTGCACTAAAACCACTAAGCTGAAAGAAATCTTCCTCTGTGAAGCTGTTCCGGGTGTCACCGCGATGGAGTCTGTCTCTTGTCTGTGACAGACAGCTGACAGCCAGAGCATTCACTGCTGTGCAGGACCCAGTCAGGTCACAGACGCCACAGGGAGTGACTCACACTGCCTGCAGTTCTGGCTCCAAGAAGATTCAACACCTCCAGCCTCACGTGCACATCCCCAAACATAATGATATACGCTTCTCTAAAACCAGAAATGTGCTGCCTAGCTGAATGTAAATTCAATCAAATTCACAGCAAAGGACAACCACCACACACTGCTGCTGATAAAGTCATAATAATAATAATAATAAAAGTAACAAATCCCTGGCATCTGAAAGTAGGTAATTACACCGAAGTGTTCTCGACTAAACCTGACTTTGAAAATACAAACAACACTCAGATAAAGTCTTTCTGTGACCACAGTGGGAGACAGGTAAGATGTCTGAAATTAGAGATAAGAAAGAAGCACAAAAATAACGGAACATCCCCATCTTCTGGCTAATGCAGATGACTATTAACTTTAAAAATATACTTTCAAAAAACAAGTGTTAAGACCGGGTGTGGTGGCGCACACTTTTATTCCCATTACTTGGGAGGCAGAGGCAGGCAAAGCTCTGTGAGTTCAAGGCCAGCATGGTCTACAAAGCATGTTCCAGGAAACCGGGGCTACATATAAAACCTTGTCTTGAAAAACAAAACAAGTGTGTGTATGTGTAGTCAGCAGGTTCTTTCCTGTCATGTGGTCCTCAGGCATGGTAGCAAGCACTCTTAACCATTGAGCCATCTCTCCTGACCCTCATGGTCTTTTGAATGCTGTGATTATGCCTCATTAATAGATTTTCTTTCATCTTTCATCTGTCCTAACAGGAAGTGTTTGGTTTTTTTTTTTTTTTTTTTTTTTTGGATGGGCAGACTTATACCTTATGGTAGGTCTCAAATTTTTTCTCTACTTTTTCCTCCGATTTTTTTGTTCTCTCTTTTTAGAACACTTACTAGACTGTAAGCTCCTAGGTTGTCTCTTTGTCTATTTCCTTGGTCTCTGCTTTGCTTTCACTTAGACTGTACTTTGCTTCCACTGTGTGCCTCTAATCATAGCTCTGACTTCTCTGCGCCTGTTCTTGTTCTTTTCATTTACGGCCTATTCTACGAGGTTGCTATTTTAATATTAAGTCTGCTACATTCTGGGATTATCCTATTGCTCTTTCATCTTTTGTTTACTCTGGGATTTCGTCCTCAGCTATCATCCTCCTGCATATCCACTGCGCATGTGAGAACCTAACCCATAGCAGATGCAGGGTCTGTGCTCAAACTGTGGGCTTAACACATAGACAACAGGGGAGAGTGATCTCCGCAGTCCACTTCCGGAGCCTTGTCTATCAGTTGTTCCACCTCCTGAATTACATTAGCAGTGTTGATTCTCTCCCCAAAGGTTCATTTAATTCACTTGGAGAAAGATGCGATGACCACGAGGAAATGCCTTATAATTTTTTTTTCATAAATCAAGACGTTTGCAAGCTGCATTTTGTAATACTGCCACAAGATGGTGCACCAGGACAATGTATGCACCTGTGATCCCCTCAGCAGAAATTAACTGGGTCTAGAAGCCTGACAGGAATTCCGTGAGCTCCCCAGTATTTAGGGCAGGTTTGAAGGTCTTGTCAGGAGTGAGGAGATTATGCTCCATCTACAGATAAAGCAATCTTGTAGATATCTGCTAAGCCCTATTGACTGGTGATATAATTTGCTTTATGTTCATTTGCTGTGTTTTAGTGTGAGAAGCCTCTCTAGATATGAGAGTGAGTTATTGAAGTCTCCTACTGTTATTGTGTCAGGACCGATGTGACCTTTGATGTTGTTATTGTTTATTTCATGGAACTGTGGGCTCCAAGACCCAGTACATAATATTTGCAATGGTTAAATCCTCTTGATGAATGGTTCCCTTTATTAATATGTGGTTAACATTTTTCTGAGTAGTTTTGAAGTCTTCTTATCAAATGGGAATTATTAAGTCAGCCTGTTTGTGGTTTCTATTTGTTTGATAAGCTTATTTCTAATCTTTGACTCTAAATATTTAGTTGTCTTTTCTAGTTATGTGAGTTTCTTGGGAGACAAGGGATAACTGGATCTTCTTTTGTTTTGTTTTGTATCTATTTAGTCTTTGTGATAGCTAATCTTGGCTGTCAACTTGACATTCCTGAGACGAGAGATTCTCAATTGAGGAATTGTCTCTATCTGAGTGGACTGTGGGAGTGCCAGTGGGGACATTTTCTTGATTGCCAATTGATATGATAGAGCCCATCCCACTGTGGGCTTAGACAGGTGGGTCTGAGCTATATAAAAAAAGACAGCTGAGTGGTAATCTAGGAGACAAGCCAGTAATCAGAGTTTCTCCACAACCTTTGCTTTAGTTCCTGTTTACAGGTTCCTGTCTCAAGTTTCTGCTTGCTTCCCCTAGATGATGGCCCATAACATGTAAATTGACTGCTTTTGGTTGGCATTTTATCACAGCAACAGGAAGCAAAGGAGGATAGGCTGTGTCTTTTCATTGGTAAGTGAAGGATATTTTCATTCAAGGTGCTGATGATAGTTTCCACTGTCTTATTTTGATTCTTTCATTTCTATAATTTAAATTTTTTATTTATGTGCACTGGTGTTTCACCTGCAAGTATATCTGTGTGACGGTGTCAGGTACACTGGAACTGGAGTCACAGATAGTTGGGAGCTGCCATGTGGGTGCTGGGAATTGAACCCAGGTCCTCTGGAAGAGCAGTCAGTGCTCCTAACCAAAGAGTCATCTCTCCAGCCCTACAAGTTACTTTAAAGACTTCAAATTAGTGAAGGGTTTACTATTATTGATGAATTTATTGGTTGTTGCTATTACTAATGAGTCTATTATTGCTATTATTAGTGAGCCTATTGTTGCTATTACTGATTAGTCTATTATTGCTATTACTAATGAGTCTATTATTACTGATGAGTCTATTGCTATTACTAATGAGTCTATTGTTGCTATTACTAATGAGTCTATTGTTATTACTGATGAGTTTATTGTTGCTATTACTGATGAGTCTATTATTGTTATTACTAATGAGTATATTGTTGTTATTACTAATGAGTCTATTGGGTGTCACTCTTGTTTGTTGATTTATTGGTAACTCTTCTTTCTCTTCTGGTAACACTGGATGCTTGATAATTTGCTGTGTTAGACAATATTCATTCCCTCCCAGCTTCCCGGTGCTCATCTGTGCTAAGTGTATTTTTTCCTATGTTCTAGTGGGTGACATTGTCCTTCTTATTTCTCTGTATATATTGTTCTTTTAAGGATTTTCTGTATTTCTGACTTAGCATGAATTGCTTTAGCTTGTGTTTGTCTTGAAATATCCCCATTCCTCCTCAATGAGAACAGAGTACTTTGGTGAGTATAACAGTCTTGACAGTTGATATTTACTTCCAGGGCTTGAAAGGTATCATTTATGTTTCCTAACTAGGGGTTGCTGAAGACAGATATAAATGCTATTCTGATCTTTTTGCCTCTGTGCCCACCCCCTTACAGCTTTTAATATTGTTTGTTTTTTACTTTTGACATCTTGACTATGATAAATCATAGGAAGGTTCTTTTCTGATCAAGTCTATTTGGGGTTCCAAATGTTTCCTTTGTTTAAGCGTCTATTTCTTTTTGTAGGCTTAAATTCTCACCCATGATTTCATTAACAGATTGTCTAAATTATTTATGACATCATATATCCTGAGAATTCTAAAGTTTGGTCTCCTGAATGTATTGCATGTTCCATACAAGTTTTTGGTCATGTTCATTAATTTCCCCACTCTACATATGCCTATATGTTACAGTTCCAGCCTTGCTCTCCATCCCTGTATGTTATATTCCAGCCGTGTTCTCCATCCCTGTATGTTATATTCCAGCTGTGTTCTCCATCCCTGTATGTTATTATTCCAGCCGTGTTCTCCATCCCTGTATGTTATGTTCCAGCCGTGTTCTCCATCCCTGTATGTTATGTTCCAGCCGTGTTCTCCATCCCTGTATGTTACTGTTCCAGCCGTGTTCTCCATCCCTGAAGCTGCTCTTTGGTTTCTGTCTGCTGTTGATGTTGTTGTTTTTTTCTTTCACTTCCAGAACTTGGGTTTTTTGTTGTTTTCTTTTGTTTTTAAGCATCTCAATTTCTGTGGTATTTCCCACAATTTCCTCCATGTTTTAAAAGTTTCTGCAATGTTATTGATTCTTTTACCTACTTTTTGATAACTTTGTTGTCTAAGTGTTAAACTTATTTTAACATTCTTGGCCAGGTCCTAAATTCAATACCTTATCTGTTTGAGTCCTGTAGTCACTGACCTTTAGTTCTTCATCTCCCTTGTCTGGTACTGAGAGGCCAATCAGCTTGTAGGGTGTTAGGATGGAAAGCCATCTCACATTTTTACATTTTCTTTGTTTTGCTCTGCATATCTTCTGGAGTATATATGTCCTCCTGTTTGCAGTCTCCCCTTCTGTTTTTAACGTGACTATTCCTGGTTGACTGTCTTCACTTGGACGTATGTTCAGGAGAACTGACTGCAGCTAACAGTTGTGATGTTTGCTGCGGTCCCAGTGTTAGCTCAGGGCTGCCCACTGGGACGCAGCACCAAGTCCCACTGCAGACTCCTGCGATTCACGTAGCGGCCCCTGTCGTGGTGCAGTCAAACAACTGCTGAAATGACTAGCTGAGAGCGGGAAGGGACCAGAGAGCTTGCATACCTAGGTCACAGCAAGATGACAGACACAGTCCTGAGATGGCTGCGAGACAGTAATTTGAACACTGACGAAGTAATGGATGGCATTAACTTTTATGTGTAAAAGATAGCTTTAAAAATCGTTACTATTTACAAATTTTTAGTGAAACATTTACATGGGAATGGTGTGCTATCTGATATTGGCTTCAGATTACAAACATTTACATGTGAATGGTGCACTATCTGGTATTGGTTTCAGATTACAAAGGTGAAAACTGAAACAAGGAATTAGGTACACAGTAAAAGCTATGAGTTGATTCTTGTTTAAGGTGGCTATTGAATATCTAGGAGTTTTTACACACTTTATGCATGTTTAAAATTACTCCTGATAAAAAACTAAATTTATTTTCACTCTGGTCTGCTTCCAGACCAAGAAGTCCAAGGAAGCATCACCACACATCATCATCCTCCCCAGAGAATAGCCCAAAAGGTGAAATACACATGAAAAAGGATAATATATATAAAGACTAACCAAATAACTTGTTGCCCAACTAACATCTCAATTGAAAAATATTAACCGTAAGAGATAATTCCTACTATATGTTATTAGTATAACGTTTTATTATTTGAAGCCTAATATGTAATTCCAGAGACCAACAGTTGAGTTAAAGTATCCTGCAGTACACTCCTCCAGGCCATACTGATGTTATAGAAAGAAGAAATTAATAATGCTGTTTACCTTTACTGCACAGTGCTGCAGCAGCTCTATTTGAGTGCTTGGGATGAGAAATATCTGTTTCTAACCTTCCTTGCATAACTGTTTGATTTACACACCTCCTGGGGCCTAAATAAAAGACTGTAAATTTCTTCTGAATATCAAGGCCAACTGGAAAGAGAAAAAGATGCAAGCAAATGCTTATTAAAATCATATTAAGTCTTTCCGTGAGGTTATTTATTTCAATTTATATCCCTTATTATTGTAGCACTAGAGGTAAGAAGTACAGAAAATTTAAGTATTTTTGGAAAGATTAAAATATGATAATGAAAATAGGTACATTTATCTTAATAATATTTTTTAAAATCTATAATTGAAATTTAATTATATTAGAAAACAAAGGTCTTTAAGTGAATAAAGAAAATTGAATTATGTTATCTAAGTATATAAAATTTCCCTTAATGTTTATTTACAGTAAGTATATTATTTTTATTATTTTTCTGTATTGGCTAGCATAAAGGAAATAATATTAAATGCTGTCACATTTTTGTATTGACATCTTCAATAAGTCGATTAACTTACCATAATCAGAACTAATTAGATTAATGCTAAGATCTTCAGATATAAAAGCTCTCTTCACATCAATTTTTTTAGCCCAATGTCCACTTTTTAACAAAACAGAATCCCTGAAAAACAGTAATGTAAACTTTAACACTATCCAAACTCTAAATGAACTAATCTACTGATTTCAAGGACAAGGTCTTCCCCAGACAGGTCTGCAATAGTAGTAAACGACTACTGAGAACTTTCACCAGATTGTGAGGAGGAAGAACAAAGTCTCAGTGGAGATTCATTTGTTTGTTTGCTGTGCACTCCTCAAACAGAATGACCTGGAAGTGTGGATTCTCTCGCATGCTCCCCCTTCCACCAGCTGGGATGACAGGCATAAGCTACACCTGACAATAGAGCTAGTTGTTTAACAGTAGTTGATCCCAAGCTGCACCGACTCATTTGAGGCCAAACAAAAATACACAGCTGTTATTAATAAGACACGAATTGCTTCTTTAATGTGATTGTGCATAAGTTATATTTATTTGTGAGAAACAATTTCAACAATCTTTTAAATTGAATTTGAAATAGTTTGTATCTAAGACTGACACAGACAAGAAGAAATTACTGAGCTTAATTCATTCTCATAGTCCCCGGATTAAGGGTTTATACAAAGTGTGTTCTCTCTAAGGGTGCGAGGCTGGTTATGGGGGAGCAGGGACTGAAAAGAGCATCCTCCTGCTCAGCCCCTTAGAAATCTTCATGGATCCTCCTGCACCCTGACAGCTAGTAGATTCCAGTCGTAGAGGCTCTGCCATTCCTAATTTAGCACTGTAGCGATACCGTGAGTTCAGGCAGGGCCAATCTGGACTTTATTATCAACTAGCTACCTGAGTTTCTTCCTCTATAAAATGTGAATTATGATAGCACCTATCTCATACAAATATTAAGTAAATCACTATTTGTGGCCTACTAAGTACTAAAAAAGGACTAGCAATGACTGAAACTGACATCTTGAGAATTTACTTATGGCATTGTGAGGGAAAAATAATATCTAGAAAACACTGAAGTAAAAATTACAAAAGGCACACCAGAAGAACTAGGTATAATATATAGAAAATGCTGAAGTAAAAGTTACAAAAGGCACACCAGAAGAACTAGGTCTAATATCTAGAAAACGCTGAAGTAAAATTACAAAAGGCACACCAGAAGAACTAGGTCTAATATCTAGAAAACGCTGAAGTAAAATTACAAAAGGCACACCAGAAGAACTAGGTATAATGAGGGGATTTTCCTGATGTGGCTGATCTGAATGCCTGCATCCTACAATGGAGTTACAGGAGCTGTTTACATGTTAATCTGGAGATAGAATCTACAGATAGAGATTATATTCTGAGTTAAGTAGAAGATTGTATTCAAAGAGGAGCAAGGCCATAAAAAGAAGAACAGCAAATCAGAAAGGCCCCAGAGGGCATCTATCTCTTGTTACCAATCCCTCCATGGTGACAGATTTTATAATTTCTTCATCTAGTTCTAAATAGAGACCTAAAGTTAATGTTAACCCTCCTCAACAGACAAGTGGAACACTTGCCATTCTTATATCAGGGAACTGTAATTTAGTTGATTATGTGATGATCTAATTATTGTATCTCACAGTAAAAGTTTCATGTACAATAAAAATAAAATCGAGCATTTCATAATCACTCACATGATTTTGTGCTTAAGAACGACCTGATTATCTGCATCGCCTATGATTAAGGTAGCGTAGTGAGTGTCTGGCGCTGTTCTCTTGGTCTGCAGCTGTTCAAAGTTTCTTAACACAACAGTCACCAGTATCTCCGCCTTGGTGTCGCTGTATCTAGAAATCTTCAAAAAAAAATTAACAAGTATAAAAAACTTTAAAATAATCTTATTATTCATACCCAGCTTCAATTTTAGCCATGGAAGGCTTTACTTTTAAGGAGACAGAATATTTAAGAAAGAGAATATTCACCTGCTCCACTTCAAGTTCATACTTGGGTAGATACATCACAGCTTCTTTTATCTGGGTTCCGAAAGGCGGAAGTCTACTTAAAATCTAAACATATTTATATCATTATATTTTTACCACAAACACTTAAAACTCTTATTGAAATATTTCTTAAAACTCACAGGCTTAATCAGGTTTGTCACCCCAAACACCTGCAATTGAAATGCTTACAATGAAGAAGAAAATATCTGTGTGTGTGATGTATATGGTCATGAATGTAGCATCAAAAGTCTGTGCAAGCGTGAGAAGAGCAGAGGTCAACACTGGATATCGTTTCACTGCTCACCACCTTTGGCTTCAGGAGGCCTGGTGCCTACTGATTTCTCCAGACACATGACCTGCAAGATCAGACTGTCCTGTTTCCACCTCCTAGCGCTGGAGTTACAGGTGTGTGCTCCTAGGTCCAGTTTCTGACATGGTAGCTGAGCTCTGAACTTGGATCTTCAGGCCTGTGTACATGTACTTCTCTGACAGAGTCATCACCCAAACAAATAATTTTAATAGAAATAAAGACATACACAGTGGGGTTTGGAATTTAAATAGAATCCAGTAACATTAGGAACAGAGAGTACTACATACCAGTTCAATTTCTCTTGCATTTGCTTCTTCTATTTTTTTAAAGGAAGTCAAACCTGCATTTACCATGGTATTTGACAATGATATGCCTGTGGAAAATTAACCAAAGAGTAATTTTAAGCCATTTTAATGAAATAGAAACTTCAGCAACTACATGAATAAAACCTTTTTTAGCTAGGTATGTACTCAGTGGTAGAGCACTTTCCTAGAATATACAAGACACTAGCGTCAATCCCCAGGGCTGCAAAAATTAACTGTTAAGTAATCCCTTTAAAAACATTCAGTCAAGACCTATCCTGGGTACATGATCCTGGGTGCATGACCTGGCTTTTCGGAGCCCTTTTCCTGTGGTGAGATACCTTGCTCAGCTTTGATATGGGGGGAGAGGCTTGATCCTGCCTCTACCTGGTCTACAGACTTTATTCGCTCCCCAAGGGAGCCCTTACCTCCACTGAGGAGTGGATGGGGGGGGGGGATGGGATGATATGGGGAGGGGCAGGGGAAAAGGAGGGAGGTGTTATTATGCAAAATTTTAAAAAATTAAATAAAAAATGTTTTTAAAACATTCAGTCAAATATCTAACAGCTGTGTTTTGTGTACTGTTGAGTGTGTCCTCCAAAGGACCATGTGCTGAAGTTACGGTTTATGTTCCTGCATTCAGAATCAAGTGTCAACTCTGCTTCTGGAGCTGAATTCTCTTAACTGTATAACTTGACCTAGCCTGAGCGCCTCCATCTTTTTCCTGTTCCTTGCTCTTACTGTGTATTTTTCGGACACATTTCCTGAAACCTCCTCCATAAATCAGGATGCCTCAGAGTCAGAGAACTGCCTGTTTCTGCCAACGTGATAGGGTTAGGGCATGCACCACAATGCCCCGCTCTTCGGTTGGTTCTGAGACAGGGGTCTCACGAATTAATAGTCCAGGCCGTCCTTAAGCTTACTTAGAACCAGTGCTGGCCTTGAACTCCTGTGTCTTGAATGCCGTGGCTATAGGAGTGCACTAGCACACCCAGCTTCCATTATATAATTTCCAAGTTTAGTCTTCCCAAGACACATATAAAATCACAAAACTAATGTCAATCTTGGAATAATAACTCTTTTTAAAATATTACTTATTTAGGAAGTAGGGTCACAAAGTCAAAGTAAGAAACTGGGAAACAACAGAATTCTTCAGTCTGATCCAGCTTTTATAACAAGCACATTGTAGCATTTTACAGCGCACCCTACACTGGGTTCTAACAGAAAGTCAGGAGTAACCTCCTGTCTGCAGAAATGCTAAGATGGACACTAATATCCTGCTGTTACTGAAAACAGAAAAAAAATCAAATAAATGGTATAATTTTCTAGATTACACAAGACCTGGGTTTGATCTTGAAAGTAACACTAAGGACACAGTAAATTATTACTCAGAAGTGAGAGATAATGTCATATATTACCTAATCATTAAAACAAAGTGAACTGTCAATAGAAGAACAAGATTAGATTTCTCATGTATTTTTGCATTTAATTAGTTCTTTCCTCCC